TATTCTAAGTTCTGTATTCTGTGCTACGAGTGATTTATGATAGCTACTATGAGGCTTTTGCACTCTGTCTAGCAGAAGTTTTCAAGTGCTTGAGGCGCAGACTTTGAATCGCAATAAACAAACTCCTCCTTCAGTGGTATTTTCCGTACTAGTAGGTAGTTGTGGTGCTACTAGTTCGCCTAGTGTAGGGTTCAGCCAGTTGTTTAGCCTGACAAGATCTGTGTACACTATTCTATAAACCCTACAGGCTGCTGCAGTGCGTCCTGTTGACGATTGGACTGAGCCATTGGTGTAGTCACAGTGCTCCAGAGACCTAAAGGCCTTAATAGAGGAGCAATTGTTCAAGTGAGACCAATTTTTAATGACTAAGAATCTCAATCTTCTTGATGAGAGAGTGTGTTTAATACTTGAACTGTGAGCCGAGGACGAAGACCACTGTGCTATAGAACCCAGGACATGGATGAGGGGGTGTGTGTTGACCAGACCACACACTAAAAGTTGAAGGGACGACGACGTTTCGGTCCGTCCTGGACCATTCTCAGATCGATTGTGGTCCACAATCGACTTGAGAATGGTCCAGGACGGACCGAAACGTCGTCGTCCCTTCAACTTTTAGTGTGTGGTCTGGTCAACATACTTCAGCCACGTTATTGTGACTCATCGCCTGCACAGGGGGTGTGTACTTCCAGCAGTACCAGTCGTTCAGTTGCTTTTTAAAACAGGTTTGGAAAACAGTATCACTACCTCCTTATTCCTCTCTTATTGCGAACATTCTCGCTATGTTAGATATAGCGATAACCTCGTATTTAATATCACTTTTTAAGTGCTTTATTAGATAAAATGGGTCCTGTATATAAATAAGGATTACGAAGAATGTCAGAGAAAGTGGATATGATGGCGATGGTCTGGTGCCGGATTTGAACAATGGATACAGGCTTGGCTTACCTCTACTTAATTAACATGGAATTAGCAGCCCCTGCGTCCCTAGTGGTGGTGCTGGGTTGGGAACCTTACTCTCGGAACATGGGGTATACACCTAACTCATTCGTGAGTAAACTATTACGAAAATAAATCATGTTTACGTATATGAAATTATCTGGTCAGACGAAATGCTTTCTTCTCAATTGTATCACTAAATACAGTAGAGGGAACTACCCCATGATGTTACAACAGTATTGTAGACCATGGTGGGGGTGGTACCCCTGATGTTACAACAGTACTGTAGACCATGGTGGGGGTGGTACCCCTGGTGTTACAACAGTACTGTAGACCATGGTGGGGGTGGTACCCCTGGTGTTACAACAGTACTGTAGACCATGGTGGGGGTGGTACCCCTGGTGTTACAACAGTACCGTAGACCATGGTGGGGGTGGCACCCATGGTGTTACAACAGTACTGTAGATCATGGTGGGGGTGGCACCCCTGATGTTACAACAGTACTGTAGATCATGGTGGGGGTGGTACCCCTGATGTTACAACAGTACTGTAGACCATGGTGGGGGTGGTACCCCTGGTGTTACAACAGTACTGTAGACCATGGTGGGGGTGGCACCCCTGGTGTTACAACAGTACTGTAGACCATGGTGGGGGTGGTACCCCTGATGTTACAACAGTACTGTAGACCATGGTGGGGGTGGTACCCCTGATGTTACAACAGTACTGTAGACCATGGTGGGGGTGGTACCCCTGGTGTTACAACAGTACTGTAGACCATGGTGGGGGTGGCACCCCTGGTGTTACAACAGTACTGTAGACCATGGTGGGGGTGGCACCCATGGTGTTACAACAGTACTGTAGACCATGGTGGGGGTGGTACCCCTGATGTTACAACAGTACTGTAGACCATGGTGGGGGTGGCACCCCTGGTGTTACAACAGTACTGTAGACCATGGTGGGGGTGGTACCCCTGATGTTACAACAGTACTGTAGACCATGGTGGGGGTGGCACCCATGGTGTTACAACAGTACTGTAGACCATGGTGGGGGTGGCACCCATGATGTTACAGCAGTACTGTAGACCATGGTGGGGGTGGCACCCATGATGTTACAACAGTACTGTAGACCATGGTGGGGGTGGCACCCCTGATGTTACAACAGTGCTGTAGACCATGGTGGGGGTGGTACCCCTAGTGTTACAACAGTACTGTAGACCATGGTGGGGGTGGTACCCCTGATGTTACAACAGTACTGTAGATCATGGTGGGGGTGGCACCCTGATGTTACAACAGTACTGTAGATCATGGTGGGGGTGGTACCCCTGATGTTACAACAGTACTGTTGACCATGGTGGGGGTGGTACCCCTGATGTTACAACAGTACTGTAGACCATGGTGGGGGTGGCACCCCTGGTGTTACAACAGTACTGTAGACCATGGTGGGGGTGGTACCCCTGGTGTTACAACAGTACTGTAGACCATGGTGGGGGTGGTACCCATGGTGTTACAACAGTACTGTAGATCATGGTGGGGGTGGTACCCCTGATGTTACAACAGTACTGTAGACCATGGTGGGGGTGGTACCCCTGGTGTTACAACAGTACTGTAGACCATGGTGGGGGTGGCACCCATGATGTTACAACAGTACTGTAGACCATGGTGGGGGTGGTACCCCTGATGTTACAACAGTACTGTAGACCATGGTGGGGGTGGTACCCATGGTGTTACAACAGTACTGTAGACCATGGTGGGGGTGGTACCCCTGATGTTACAACAGTACTGTAGACCATGGTGGGGGTGGCACCCATGGTGTTACAACAGTTCTGTAGACCATGGTGGGGGTGGTACCCCTGATGTTACAACAGTACTGTAGACCATGGTGGGGGTGGCACCCATGGTGTTACAACAGTACTGTAGATCATGGTGGGGGTGGCACCCCTGGTGTTACAACAGTACTGTAGATCATGGTGGGGGTGGTACCCATGGTGTTACAACAGTACTGTAGACCATGGTGGGGGTGGAACCCCTGATGTTACAACAGTGCTGTAGACCATGGTGGGGGTGGCACCCCTGGTGTTACAACAGTACTGTAGACCATGGTGGGGGTGGCACCCCTGATGTTACAACAGTACTGTAGACCATGGTGAGGGTGGCACCCCTGATGTTACAACAGTGCTGTAGACCATGGTGGGGGTGGCACCCCTGGTGTTACAACAGTACTGTAGACCATGGTGGGGGTGGCACCCATGATGTTACAACAGTACTGTAGACCATGGTGGGGGTGGCACCCCTGATGTTACAACAGTGCTGTAGACCATGGTGGGGGTGGCACCCCTGGTGTTACAACAGTACTGTAGACCATGGTGGGGGTGGCACCCCTGATGTTACAACAGTACTGTAGACCATGGTGGGGGTGGCACCCCTGGTGTTACAACAGTACTGTAGACCATGGTGGGGGTGGCACCCCTGATGTTACAACAGTACTGTATACCATGGTGGGGGTGGCACCCGTGGTGTTACAACAGTACTGTAGACCATGGTCGGGGGTGGCACCCCTGGTGTTACAACAGTACTGTAGACCATGGTGGGGGTGGCACCCCTGATGTTACAACAGTACTGTATACCATGGTGGGGGGTGGCACCCCTGGTGTTACAACAGTACTGTAGACCATGGTGGGGGTGGCACCCCTGATGTTACAACAGTACTGTAGACCATAGTGGGGGTGGTACCCCTGGTGTTACAACAGTACTGTATACCATGGTGGGGGGTGGCACCCCTGGTGTTACAACAGTACTGTAGACCATGGTGGGGGTGGCACCCCTGATGTTACAACAGTACTGTATACCATGGTGGGGGTGGCACCCCTGGTGTTACAACAGTACTGTAGACCATGGTGGGGGTGGCACCCCTGATGTTACAACAGTACTGTAGACCATGGTGGGGGTGGCACCCCTGGTGTTACAACAGTACTGTAGATCATGGTGGGGTGGTACCCCTGGTGTTACAACAGTACTGTAGACCATGGTGGGGGTGGCACCCCTGGTGTTACAACAGTACTGTAGATCATGGTGGGGTGGTACCCATGGTGTTACAACAGTACTGTAGATCATGGTGGGGGTGGTACCCATGGTGTTACAACAGTACTGTAGACCATGGTGGGGGTGGTACCCCTGATGTTACAACAGTACTGTAGACCATGGTGGGGGTGGTACCCCTGGTTTTACAACAGTACTGTAGACCATGGTGGGGGTGGTACCCCTGATGTTACAACAGTACTGTAGACCATGGTGGGGGTGGTACCCCTGATGTTACAACAGTACTGTAGACCATGGTGGGGGTGGCACCCCTGGTGTTACAACAGTACTGTAGATCATGGTGGGGGTGGTACCCCTGATGTTACAACAGTACTGTAGACCATGGTGGGGGTGGCACCCCTGGTGTTACAACAGTACTGTAGACCATGGTGGGGGTGGTACCCCTGATGTTACAACAGTACTGTAGATCATGGTGGGGGTGGCACCCCTGATGTTACAACAGTACTGTAGACCATGGTGGGGGTGGTACCCATGATGTTACAACAGTACTGTAGACCATGGTGGGGGTGGCACCCCTGGTGTTACAACAGTACTGTAGATCATGGTGGGGGTGGTACCCCTGATGTTACAACAGTACTGTAGACCTTGGTGGGGGTGGCACCCCTGATGTTACAACAGTACTGTAGATCATGGTGGGGGTGGCACCCTTGGTGTTACAAGAGTGCTCTACACCTGAAGGGAAATATGTGAGGAGCTCAACTTACTCAAAAGAAAATCAACTGAACCTCAAGAAGCACTCAACAGAAGCATCTTCTGTCACCCTTGAGATGCTAGGCTCCCACAGCATTTCAGGTGATGCTGCAATGTTAATATGTTACGGATGTAAGGACTAATTTAATATACTGCAGACATTTAAAGTTAAATATGAACTTAACCTAATTACCAGTGCACTAAAGAGTGAGATGTAAATGACATGATTCATAACACAAGAGGAGAGGAAAGAGCAGGACCCGGTGAGGTGGGACTGACGTGCAGGACCCGGTGAGGTGGGACTGACGTGCAGGACCCGGTGAGATGAGGACTGACGTGCAGGACCCGCGGTGAGGTGAGGACTGACGTGCAGGACCCGGTGAGATGAGGACTGACGTGCCGGACCCGGTGAGGTAAGGACTGACGTGCAGGACCCGCGGTGAGATGAGGACTGACGTGCCGGACCCGGTGAGGTGAGGACTGACGTGCCGGACCCGGTGAGGTGAGGACTGACGTGCAGGACCCGCGGTGAGGTGAGGACTGACGTGCAGGACCCGGTGAGGTGAGGACTGACGTGCCGGACCCGGTGAGGTGAGGACTGACGTGCCGGACCCGGTGAGGTGAGGACTGACGTGCAGGACCCGGTGAGATGAGGACTGACGTGCAGGACCCGGTGAGATGAGGACTGACGTGCAGGACCCGGTGAGGTGAGGACTGACGTGCCGGACCCGGTGAAGTGAGGACTGACGTGCAGGGCCCGGTGAAGTGAGGACTGACGTGCAGGACCCGGTGAAGTGAGGACTGACGTGCAGGACCCGGTGAAGTGAGGACTGACGTGCAGGACCCGGTGAAGTGAGGACTGACGTGCAGGACCCGCGGTGAGATGAGGACTGACGTGCAGGACCCGGTGAGATGAGGACTGACGTGCAGGACCCGGTGAGATGAGGACTGACGTGCAGGACCCGGTGAGGTGAGGACTGACGTGCAGGACACGGTGAGGTGATGACTGACGTGCCGGACCCGGTGAGGTGGGACTGACGTGCAGGACCCGGTGAGGTGAGAACTGACGTGCAGGACCCGGTGAGGTGAGAACTGACGTGCAGGACCCGGTGAGGTGGGACTGACGTGCAGGACCCGGTGAGGTGGGACTGACGTGCAGGACCCGGTGAGGTGATGACTGACGTGCAGAACCGGTGAGGTGGGACTGACGTGCAGGACCCGGTGAGGTGGGACTGACGTGCAGGACCCGGTGAGGTGAGGACTGACGTGCAGGACCCGGTGAGGTGAGGACTGACGTGCAGGACCCGGTGAGGTGGGACTGACGTGCAGGACCCGGTGAGGTGGGACTGACGTGCAGGACCCGGTGAGGTGATGACTGACGTGCAGAACCGGTGAGGTGGGACTGACGTGCAGGACCCGGTGAGGTGGGACTGACGTGCAGGACCCGGTGAGGTGAGGACTGACGTGCAGGACCCGGTGAGATGAGGACTGACGTGCAGGACCCGGTGAGATGAGGACTGACGTGCAGGACCCGGTGAGATGAGGACTGACGTGCAGGACCCGGTGAGGTGATGACTGACGTGCAGGACCCGGTGAGATGAGGACTGACGTGCAGGACCCGGTGAGATGAGGACTGACGTGCAGGACCCGGTGAGGTGAGGACTGACGTGCAGGACCCGGTGAGGTGAGGACTGACGTGCAGGACCCGGTGAGGTGAGGACTGACGTGCAGGACCCGGTGAGGTGAGGACTGACGTGCAGGACCCGGTGAGGTGAGGACTGACGTGCAGGACCCGGTGAGGTGAGGACTGACGTGCAGGACCCGGTGAGGTGGGACTGACGTGCGAGGAAGAACACAGAGTGGGTGACCACGGGGCCCGGGATGACATCACACTAGAGGTAGCGTGATGTCATTCCTGACAACGAAGCACAGCTCGGCTACTGAACAGACCATTGTGGAAGACAGAAACGGGTACCAGCTGACCCATCTACAACAACAACATGCAACATGCAACAGTCACACATAATACGGTAAGGATCAGCAACAACAGACTGCTTGATAACAATGCGTTTGGGAACGATAAGAACACAGATTAGAAGGAACCGTCGGCCAACTACTTGTATCACTGGGGATCGAACGGAAAACCCTGTAAAAGGCGAGTCAATCGCTGTATAACAAGCCGAAGTGATGGAGGATATATCAGAGATAAAGTTAGAAATAAATGCACAGACAGAAGATAAAAGATGAGAAGAGGAGAGAGCGCAAGTCCAGTATGACTCTATATCACTTGACAGGAATGTGATGATAAGGAACAGGAAGATAAGGACAGAGAAAAGATAAAAGCCTCAACCACTTGGGTTGGACGGTAGAGCGACGGTCTCGCTTCATGCAGGTCCGCGTTCAATCCCCGACCGTAAGAGTAGTTGGGCACCAATCCTTCCCTCCCCCCGTGTCCCATCGCAAATCCTTATCCTGATCCCTTCTCAAGTGTTATATAGTCGTAATGGCTTGACGCTTTCCCCCAGATAGTTCCCTTCCCTTTCCCAAAGGATGGAAGCCAGAATAGTTAGGATTACCTACAGTTTGTCAACGCTTTGGGAAATATCCTGAGCAGGAGTTAAGCTAAATATTGTTGGTATTACTGAGAAAGTCAGTAGGAGCTATGAGGAGGATCCGAACCCGCACGCTGGGTTCTCTCAAGCACACGCATTACACCACAAAACCACGACATGGCCGAGGCAATATAACTTGACATTCAACCGAATCCTCTAGCGGGTTCATAGGCTTCCCCTGAAGCCCACTCATGGATTCACACATTGCCCCCCCCCCTCATGCACTCAGGCTGTCCCCAGCCCAGCGCCCCCCATCCCTTCCACAGAGGATTCATTTGAATCCCTGGTTGCATTGCTTTTAAGGGGGCATCAGGCCAAATATACCAGCTAGTTAGATTTGTATCAAACTTTTTTGGCTAGTTGTATATGAAAAGGGTTTCATCTGGTCTAAGTCTCAGCATCGTAGCATAAATAGGAAGGTAAATTTTTTTTTCAACGAACTTTAACATTCAACGAACATTTTCAAGTCGAAATTACAATCACAAGTTTCAAATGAAAACATTTTTATGACACATTTCTATCACATTAGCATTTAATAAAAAGATCTGTTTCGCTGATTTTTTAAAAATATGTTGACTTTTACTAATACAAATAGTTGAAGTTCCATAGCAAATTATTCAAATATATCATAGTTTATTACTATTATAAAATCAATAAATAAACTTAGGGAAAAAAATCTCGAAACAGATTGTAGAAACATAAACTCTACATATAAGGTGTAAGTTTAATGTAAATTTAATAAAAAATAAAAGAGTTATATGAACGTTTATGTTACTTGAAATAAATAAGTAAAAAATAAAGTCTAAGGTGCTGCCATCTGTGACTGAGGTTGACATCAACTAATTTCCTCCAAAATTGGCATCCTTACAGATAGGCTTACGTGCAGTGAAGTGTATAAGTTTCATGCAAATAGTCCAATAAACAAATAAGAACAAATAAATCAATTTTTTTTAACTAAAATTTTTGGGATAAAACTAATTATTAATTATTTCTAGTATATGCTATTGTGATAGCTGAGAGTCATAGACATGATTTCAGTTGACACTTGTGTTTGATGGTAATTTTGGACCATTTTGGAAATTTTTTGACATATAATTCAATATTTTTTTTCTCCCTTCCTATTTATGCTACGATGCTGAGATCTGGACCAGATGAAACCGTTTTTGTATAAAACTCGTCAAAAACGTTTGATTGAAATCGAACTAGTTTTCATTTATTGCATATTTTTGGTATATTTGGAACTAATACCCTCCTTAGCCATGTCGTGGCGTAGTGGTTCAAAGCATGTGCTTGAGAGTACCCAGTGTGAAGGTTCGAAGCCTCCTCATGGCTCCACCTCCTTCAGAGGTGGACCACATTGGTCCAGTGACTACTACCGCCTCTGTGGTGGTCATCACAGACGTGATGACCGTCTGGAGCGAGGTCATGACAAGCACCACTACCAGGGGTGACCTTACCATACACGAGATGTTTGTGAATCTTACGATAAGCTTCGATGCAAACAACCTTGAGGTATTAAAGAGGATGAACAAGAAGAGGCTCCCAAGAGTATAGGAAGAGTTTTAAAGGTCATAAAACGGAGAAAGAGGCTAGTCAGTTTGTAGCAAGCGCTTGCTCACAAGCACACTTGCTTACAACACTAACAAGCACACTTGCTTACAACACGAACAAGCACACTTGCTTACAACACTAACAAGCACACTTGCTTACAACACGAACAAGCACACTTGCTTACAACACTAACAAGCACACTTGCTTACAACACAAACAAGCACACTTGCTTACAACACTAACAAGCACACTTGCTTACAACACAAACAAGAACACTTCCCGGACTATACACCTTAATATTCTATTGGCTGGGAATCCACTGGATGAACATGATGAGTCAGGAAGGGAGGAGACTTATGATGAGTCAGGAAGGAAGGAGACTTATGATGAGTCAGGAAGGAAGGAGACTTATGATGAGTCAGGAAGGAAGGAGACTTATGATGAGTCAGGAAGGAAGGAGACTTATGATGAGTCAGGAAGGAAGGAGACTTATGATGAGTCAGGAAGGGAGGAGAATTATGATGAGTCAGGAAGGGAGGAGACTTATGATGAGTCAGGAAGGAAGGAGACTTATGATGAGTCAGGAAGGGAGGAGACTTATGATGAGTGAGGAAGGGAGGAGACTTATGATGAGTCAGGAAGGGAGGAGACTTATGATGAGTCAGGAAGGAAGGAGACTTATGATGAGTCAGGAAGGGAGGAGACTTAAGATGAGTCAGGAAGGGAGGGACTTATGATGAGTCAGGAAGGGAGGGACTTATGATGAGTCAGGAAGGGAGGAGACTTATGATGAGTCAGGAAGGGAGGAGATTTATGATGAGTCAGGAAAGAAGGAGACTTATGATGAGTCAGGAAGGGAGGGACTTATGATGAGTCAGGAAGGGAGGAGACTTATGATGAGTCAGGAAGGGAGGATACTTATGATGAGTCAGGAAGGGAGGAGACTTATGATGAATCAGGAAGGGAGGAACTTATGATGAGTCAGGAAGGAAGGAGACTTATGATGAGTCAGGAAGGGAGGAGACTTATGATGAGTCAGGGAGACTTATGATGAGTCAGGAAGGGAGGAGACTTATGATGAGTCAGGGAGACTTATGATGAGTCAGGAAGGGAGGAGACTTATGATGAGTCAGGAAGGGAGGAGACTTATGATGAGTCAGGAAGGAAGGAGACTTATGATGAGTCAGGAAGGGAGGAGACTTATGATGAGTCAGGAAGGAAGGAGACTTATGATGAGTCAGGAAGGAAGGAGACTTATGATGAGTCAGGAAGGGAGGAGACTTATGATGAGTGAGGAAGGGAGGAGACTTATGATGAGTCAGGAAGGGAGGAGACTTATGATGAGTCAGGAAGGAAGGAGACTTATGATGAGTCAGGAAGGGAGGAGACTTATGATGAGTCAGGAAGGAAGGAGACTTATGATGAGTCAGGAAGGGAGGAGACTTATGATGAGTGAGGAAGGGAGGAGACTTATGATGAGTGAGGAAGGGAGGAGACTTATGATGAGTCAGGAAGGGAGGAGACTTATGATGAGTCAGGAAGGAAGGAGACTTATGATGAGTCAGGAAGGGAGGAGACTTAAGATGAGTCAGGAAGGGAGGAGACTTATGATGAGTCAGGAAGGGAGGGACTTATGATGAGTCAGGAAGGGAGGAGACTTATGATGAGTCAGGAAGGGAGGAGACTTATGATGAGTCAGGAAGGAAGGAGACTTATGATGAGTCAGGAAGGGAGGGACTTATGATGAGTCAGGAAGGGAGGAGACTTATGATGAGTCAGGAAGGGAGGATACTTATGATGAGTCAGGAAGGGAGGAGACTTATGATGAGTCAGGAAGGGAGGGACTTATGATGAGTCAGGAAGGAAGGAGACTTATGATGAGTCAGGAAGGGAGGAGACTTATGATGAGTCAGGGAGACTTATGATGAGTCAGGAAGGGAGGAGACTTATGATGAGTCAGGGAGACTTATGATGAGTCAGGAAGGGAGGAGACTTATGATGAATCAGGGAGACTTATGATGAGTCAGGAAGGGAGGAGACTTATGATGAGTCAGGAAGGGAGGAGACTTATGATGAGTCAGGAAGGAAGGAGACTTATGATGAGTCAGGAAGGGAGGAGACTTATGATGAGTCAGGAAGGAAGGAGACTTATGATGAGTCAGGAAGGAAGGAGACTTATGATGAGTCAGGAAGGGGAGGAGACTTATGATGAGTGAGGAAGGGAGGAGACTTATGATGAGTCAGGAAGGGAGGAGACTTATGATGAGTCAGGAAGGAAGGAGACTTATGATGAGTCAGGAAGGGAGGAGACTTATGATGAGTCAGGAAGGGAGGAGACTTATGATGAGTCAGGAAGGGAGGGACTTATGATGAGTCAGGAAGGAAGGAGACTTATGATGAGTCAGGAAGGGAGGAGACTTATGATGAGTCAGGGAGACTTATGATGAGTCAGGAAGGGAGGAGACTTATGATGAGTCAGGAAGGGAGGAGACTTATGATGAGTCAGGAAGGGAGGAGACTTATGATGAGTCAGGAAGGGAGGAGACTTATGATGAGTCAGGAAGGAAGGAGACTTATGATGAGTCAGGAAGGGAGGAGACTTATGATGAGTCAGGAAGGGAGGAGACTTATGATGAGTCAGGAAGGGAGGGACTTATGATGAGTCAGGAAGGAAGGAGACTTATGATGAGTCAGGAAGGGAGGAGACTTATGATGAGTCAGGGAG